TAATCACACAGACACGTTGAATGCAGGTGACAAAAACTGATTCAGAAATTTGTTATGATTTCAGTGACCAGTATGAGCTGACTGAAACAAATCACCTCCACAACATCACCTCGAAGAATTGTAGCTGGTACCCCAAACATGTATCCTGACACAGCAATATTCTTATAATTTAACAGACAGATCTGTTGAGGAGAAGGATCCTAAGAAGCAGTGTCAGAACTAGCACCATCAAAACACTTACATATACTCCTAATAGAAATAGTATTCCATTAGTTCTGCAAATTACTTTCTTTTATGGTGCAGCCAACCTGTTATTTAATCTTATCCACTAGCATCTGTTAATGAGCAGCTGTCCAATGGCATATAAAAGCAAGTCATTAGGGCAATATTGCTTAACACCAATAGATCACCTAGTCCTGACTGATAATACTAACTGCTCAGAACATCATCTTCATTCTGTAATTACCAGCTAAACAAGTAGTCCTATCTCTTCAGAAAGAAATTTTCTGAAGACCGTAAAGCCTATGTATTCCCAGGAGAGAAAGCAGTTCAAGTTTCTGATAACATGTGAGCAGATTTAGGAAATGGATTTACAATCTTCATTATCTTTATACATCTATTCCACAAACCCTCTGCATGTATTTCAGGCTGCTAAGAGTAATTATCTTCTAGAATATGGTAGTTAGGGCACAAGAAAAACTCCCACTGAATTCAATACTAGCTTTGAAAATTGCTTGTGAAAACCTTAATGCATGAACCTATAACCTGCAATCGTTGAAAGTGTGTTAAAAATAATTAAAAAACACTAAAAAAAACCAAACCAAGTACTTAAAATCAACCAAATCCACTGAATTATTGCTGCTCCTGAAAATACATCTTTTAAGGGCAGACAGCACAAGATAAAGAAGGATTCTTACAGAACAGGGTTTTTTCAGTAGTTAAAAATACGCACATGATGACATCTGTTACTTAAAAACATAAGACACATCTTGACATTGCAAATCCTGCTCTCTCTTGTGTGCAGCTTTGAAAAGTGACTCTGTACCAAGAGCACCATGTTTAAATAGCTGTATGCCACATGCAAAGTGTGCACAAATAACATACGTCTTACGGCTCTAATATGATTCCATGCCTTTTGACAGCTCCCTTCTGATCTGCCAACAGCATCAGGGCCTAAACCTAAAAAGTGTAGTTTAAAACCAGTTTATAAATGTAATTTCACCTAAATCCCAGAAAAAAAAAATCATAGGCATACTAAATACCTTGCATGTCATTACTTCTTTGTCAGTAATACACAACATCAAATAGCGTATTTTGGAAAGGTATACAGCATGAGCAGTATGAATTCCTAACATAGTGCATATTTAGATTTTTCATGTATAACTTCAGAAAATGAGCAATCCAAATGCTCTCAGTAACAACGGGGCTGCCTATGAACAGTTGCATAGAGTGTTGACACATTTTTCAAGCTTTAGTGTCTCAAAATAGACACTTGATTATAGCATTAGAGGCAGGTAAGGCATTTTGCTTTTCAAATGCTGAGCACCTCTTACTCTTTGTTTTTAAATATTCAGCCATATAAATAAGAATTAGTGGTGGTGTTGAAATTTGAAATAACATGATAAGAACATCTGCACTTTGAAAGGCTGTTTTCAAGAGCTAACTAGATGTTGTTAGCAGCACACTGTTAAGATTGCTATTTTAGTAGGATGCGAACGTAAGTCAAGCTCTGCATGAATTTCTAGCTCTGTTAAGGAAGCAAACATTACTAAATTAGATGTAGTTTATCAAGTTATAAACATATTACTCTTATTAAGCCCTTTCTAATTTTCTTAGAAGTTACTTCCTTCAAAGAAAGGTTCTAGCTGTCATTAAATGAGAATGTCAATATTGAATATTTACACTATATTTATTCACAAAGTTAGAAAATATAAAACACCTGCTAAATGCCATTGATTAAAATCAGCACATTCTTCAGCAGGGAGTGAATGGAGCAGCCATGGCAGAAGTGCCCATATGAGTTGAAAAGTCATGTGGACTGGTTTTATAGGAAGGTATAAGGGAATCCCAGAATGGTTTGGGTTGAAAGTGACCTGTGAAGGTTATCTAGTCCAACCACCCCACCACGGGCAGGGACATCTTCAAGCAGATCAGCTTGCTCAGGGACCCATGGGACCCGACCTTGAATGTTTGCAGAGTTGAGGCACTTACCAGCTCTCAGGGCAACCCGTCCCAGTTGTAACAGTGACACTGTCACAGCAATAGCACTGTTGCCTAGCATTAGTGTAACACAGTAACACTGTTGTTACACAGTAATGCTGTTGTTACACAGTAACACTCCTTACACTGTTTCACACCATCACTGTAGAAAATTTGTCCTCATTTCCAGCTTGAATCTACCTTCAATCATTTTAAAAGCATTGCACCTTGTCCTGTGCCAACAGGCCATGCTAAAAAGCTTGTCCCCATATTTCTTACATGTTTCAGGGCTAATAAAAGAAGCTATTGTGTATTTGCATGTAGACCTGGTATCTGTAAATAGCTTTCACCTGTTTCAGAGCTGTTATCTTTAACCTCTAAGGCATTTTTATGCTATGTCAGAGTTTCATACTGTTGTTGGAATTTTTAAGTTTATTTTGTTAGCAGATGTCAATGATCTCCCATAAATTCTCATGTTTCTTTTAAGAAAACCTCACATTCAGAGATGCTCGTAAACATATATTAATTTTCTTTTAAGTGAGATTAAGAAGCCAGTTAACTGAGCGACATCTAAACAGTCAATGCAACCCTACCCTTGATATATTCTTTAATTCTAGCTACTTTGCCATAAGGCACAATGTGTCAAATATACACACAAAAGTGATGAGAAGGTGAAGGGGCTTCTGTATCAGAAGCTTTACCCGTATGTACCTAGGGATTTATACACCATAAATGAAACTTTTTTTTGTTATTTTGTTCTGGGTTGTTTGCTTTTTTTGAGTTTTTGTTTGCTTTGGGTGGGGGGTTGTGTGGGGTATTTTTGTGGTGGTTTGCTTTTTTAGATGTGGGGGTTTTTTTGTTGGGTTTTTTAGTTTGCTTGCTTTTTTTTTTCCCCAGGAATAAAAAAAAAAAAAAAAAAGTAATTTAGGGTACTTCCTCTTTTTCATATGCTGCATTTTTGATACCTTTAAACTATATGACTGCTTAAAATTTGACTCCAAACCACTAATTTCCTCCAACATACTATCACTTTCCATTCATTCTAAGAACACCTTCAGTACTGTCTTCTCATTAACATACAAGTAAAGAAGGCTGCAGGTGAAAGGTGAGCAAGACAAACTTGCTATGAGATTACTGACAGAGAGTATGATAACATATTTAAGAAGTCACACATAGCACTGAAGAATGACTTTACAATTAAGCAAATAGATGGAAATATGAACATTGAGAATATATCACATTATTTCAAGGTTTGTAAACCTCCAGAGACCAAGTTATTGACCATTTCTAGTGAAAATGATGAAATGTGTCTTGCCTCAGCATAGATAATTTTACACAAGAGTTTTCATGAGTTCCTTTGTTATTTTCATCCCATAAAAATTCACTGAAGTATATTCTTTGAAACAAACAAGCTAATGGCTATTTTTTTCGATATAATTGTGTTTAATTAGAAGCTCCAACTACGTTCCCTTGCATGACCTGGCAAATAATTAGAGTTATTATTTGCTCCCTTACTACTTCTAAGCACCATCTATAGCTGAAGTGTAGAGAAATTGGTTTAATGAGACAAAGATTGATACATTTAGGAGATGGGGCTTGAAAAAAAACCTCCACAAGTGGGAAACATTCATAATGCATACGATTGGTAGTACCATGGGCAATAATATGCAAAGTATCTCAAATTGATTCTTCAGTTCCTGTTCTTACCATGACATCTGATACCATATATGTCACATGATGTCCCATGACATCATGATGTCATATGTCACTGGACTATAGCCAAAACCCCAGCACAGCCACTTCATATGTCACATGATGTCCCATGACATCATGCATAGCTTTTTCGTACATCTCTCTTTATTTGGGTGTATGTGAAAGTTATCACACCTTTATTTGAATAACTGGGTTAGAAGATGAGCTGCATCCACACGGGTATTAGGGTAATTATGCATTCAATGTTGCCTATTGCAAATATGCATTCAATGAATTATTGCATTCAATATTACAGTTTTGAGCCTTACAGATATCTGAATCTGAATG